AATTTAATGTAATTAATTAGGGAATTAAAAGTGGCCTATACTAAAAATTAAGAGCACACAAAAGATTTATATCAAATTCCTCTATTCGAACCATAATATAAGACATTGATAATTAATTTATGATTTTTAAAAAGTGTTAATTGAAACTTAATTTTTTCAAGAAAAAATTTATATCTTTTCAATTATACTCTTGTTAATAATAATAATTAAAATTTTAATGCATTATTTTTTTAAAAAATAATAAATGAAGTATGGATGTAATTGAAAAATTAATTATAAAAATTATTCAATATCTCATCTTTTGAATTAAATAAAATTTTTAAAAAATATTTTATATTGTAGTTTTAAAAAAGTAATTCGTTAGTATAAAGTAACTTATTGATGCTTAACTTATTTTGCATGAAATGGAAATATCAATGATATTTACTGTATAGCCACTGCTTTGCTCAAAAACAGATTGACTTTTGCGATGGTATGGATTTCTTGATGGAATCAACAGCTTCGATAATATCGTAAGTCTACCAAGTGAATTAAATAATAAACACTGCATACTACATATTACTCCCTCATTCTCAAAAATTATAAACAAAACTCATATTAATAAAACTCAATAATAATATTTTACAATCTTATTTTTTTAAAATAAAAATATAAACATTTAAAAATACTATTTATTTAATATAATTTTAAATTTACAATCATTTCAATTCTCACTCCACTTCAAGAGTAATATTAAAAAAACATTATTAATAAAATTTTATTTTTATTAAATTGTCTATTATTTTGAGATAACTATATCCCTTTAAAGTTATCTTATAATTTAAAATAAAAAGAGTACAATTCCAACAAACTCAACTTCTTTTTACTTAGTCTCCCACCTCTGTGCCTCTGTTGAGGTGAGAACAAATCTAAATTGTCCAAATTTAAAGATTTTCATTTTCATTAAAATGAAAATTTATAAAAAAGTGTGGGAAATTAATAATTTAGTAACCATTAATTTAAATAGTACAAATTTAATCTATACAAATTTTAATAGAATTTTTAAAAAACTTGCTTGATTAGCGATCTGAATTGTTTAGATTTAATGTGATGGTCTAAATTTAATATTAATTTTTTTTATAATTTTTATAAATTAATTATTTAGATATATTTTGGAGGTGTAGATTTAAAATTTTTAATTTATAATTTTGGAGAAGTTCATGTTAAAAAATTATATGTATTGTCCAAAATATATCTATATGGTATCTATTTATAAAAATAAAAAAATTAATATTAAATTAAATTATCTAGATTAATTTTATATTGTTGAAATTGGTTAGTCTACTATTTTTATAAATTTTTATTTTAATAAAAATAAAATAAAAGAATTAAAATTTTTAAAATTCAGATTTTGCTCACGTAGTGTAGGAGGGAGAACTCGGCGAAAGTTTCTAAATTCTAATCCATCATGAGCTTAGTGGAATGACCTCTGCCAGGATATTACATGACAGGCGATGAAAATATGCAGATAAAGCCACATTGTTAAAAGCCGGCTCGCCTGTCAACAGGCTTGGCTTTGTTGAAAAACCCACAGACTTTTCTGTCAATGTGTCCTGTACGCGCTTTTTAATTGGCTGGCAAATATATATTGCTCTTCAACACTCTCGCCAATTGGAGGCTGCCGCCAGCTCAGAAGTACCACCCCTCTCTTGCATTGTTCATTGGTAGCCCAAATTATTCTTTAACTGTTTTTTTTTTTTCCAATCCCTATTTTGGTGCCATAGGACCTGAAAATTGTTGGAATTCACAATTCTGGTCTTTCCGCAATGGAAAAGGGCACTTTGACTAATTTCTCTCTCTCTTTATATCCTTTCTTCTTATCATCATTGTTTACTTGCCTTTTTTATCTTCGAACGGGTATTCCAAAGATGTTCCAAATCTCTTATTTCATTTTGAACTCAAAAAAAAATCTCATTTCATTTTTTTAATGAAAAGATGAGCTGATATATTATGACAAAAGACAAGATATAGTCAAAAGAATACAACTATAAATCAAATCACAGTAGCAAAATCTTTCAAAATCCACCCTCTCCTAATTTGAAAGAATCAGTAGAAGTAACACAAGTCCTGGTACTATTTCTAATAACAGATGCATTCCAATTTTTCATGAGCAGTATTCTTGCTTGCAAAATATCATATTACAGTTGACTATTTGTCCCTATACAATTCATGACCACTTCAATCATTCTATATCCCTTTCCCAGCACCATTATTCCAAGACTTGGATTAAGCCCTGAATCATGATAGCAACCCTCTGTAGTTAAGTTTGGCATTGCTTTATGAAAGCCAATATTCCATTCCTTGTCTTGATTCTAGATTGCAACCACACATCTAAAATCCCCTACCCTCGAGCATGCACCTGCCACCTTCAGCCTACAATCATATTTCCTTGTTGGTTATGGGCATTACAATCTCTCCTCTTACTACTTTTCTTATCTATTAAATCTAGTAAATTCCTATCTTGGTCAACTTTGTAAGAGCTAGTTTCAGCATTAACCTGATGGTCAAGTGTCTCATTATCAAACAAAAATTTACACTGGGCAACACATATGCCAACAAACATATTCAAATAATATTTCCCATGGGACCCTATTGATTAGTAGAGTTCTCGCCTCCTTATCCAGGTTTCAAGATATCTATTAAGTGATATTACCTTATTGAAAGTCTTATTAGAAATGCTGATTGACCACTTGTCTCCATCATTTTTAGGCCTTCAAGCAATCTTTGAATGAGTGGAGTTCATCCTCCATATCATCACACTCAAGTGGCCTTTGTCTTGTATCCATAAGTCCCCTTTTGTATCTAAGCTTTATTATGTGAACTGCACCATGCACCATTGTCCACAAAAGCAACTATAGGTACAATTGCTTAGGCACCTATAGATAAAAACAAATATGCAGACCTACTAGAGAAGCCTCCATCCCTAAAATGCTTCTAGACACAACTCTCTCTCCCTCCCTCTCTCTCTCACTCAAACTATGTCTAGTACAAGTTCTTGTGTTAACTAGCCGGGTAGAAAGTATAATATTCAATTTAGACTTATCATAATGACCTGGCAAAAGAATATAGTTACTCACATATTCATCAAGATTTACAAGTCCCACAAGATTTGGAACAAAATCAATGATTTTCACATTTAAAGGGGACCATACATTAGTCTAAATGTGCCTCTGGTCAAGCTCATTTCTATTTCAAACCCATCTTTAAACTTCTCTTCCATGCCATAGACACATTACTCTTTTTCCTCATTATTGGCAAGAGTTATGTGCCAAATTTATATTTTTCACAAATAGCCTTCACCCTTGTGTTGTTGTGTCGCTAGACACCAACAAAGCTTCATCACATAAGCTGCATTTTGTTTTCTCAAATTTTTAATGCTTAATCTCTTATTTCATTTTTGTTCCACAAATTTTTTTCATTTCTAATATTATATAATATGAAATAGACTAAGTCAAGAATAAAATAATAAAGACTAAGCATGACATTGAAGATAAAATATGGTCTCAATTTTTTCAACTAACCAACAACCATTCGTCCTAGTGAAAGATAGTGCCTGCAATTCGGAAGCATATTTGAAAGAAGTACCTACAATTTGGATACAATGCTTGACAATAATATTTTTTTAAAACAAAAAAAAAAATCGTTCACTAAAATCTTCTATTGACGCCTTTGTCAACACAAGGACATTTTGTCGGGCCTCTCATTTAGCCCAATAACGCTCATTCATAGGATTGGGAACAACTAGATCTTATTAAATAGTTATAAAATGATATAAAAAAGAAATTATAAAATAAAACTACTCCCTCCATTTTAAATGATAAAACACTTTTAGATAAAATCTCATATATAAATAAAGCTCATTAAATATATTTTACAACTTATTTTTTTAAGATAAAAATATAAACTTTTAAAAATGCCCTTCATTTAATATTCCATTAATAAAAAATATTGAAAAGAGAGAATATATAGAAAGAATAATATTAAAAAACTATCATTAATGAAATTTTATTTTTATCAAAGTATCTTATATTTTGAGACGTGAATCTTTCATAAAAGTATCTTATAATTTAGAAGGAATGAGTAATAACTTTTAAATCTACGTCAAGGAATTTAAAAATAATAATTATGAGCTGTCTTCAGTACAAAAACAAAACAAAGCGACGTGTAATTTTCATGGTTATATCTTATATCAATAATATAATAAACATTAAAACATAAAAATTAAATGAATTTATATGTGCAAGACTGCAAGTGAAGACTGTTAAGATATATTTTCATTTGGATGCTTGTCAGATTCACACACACACATATTAATATATGTTAGTAGGACCAAAACAATCCTCCACCAATAGCCAAAAGTGATCTTTCTTAGATACAGAGGATAAAGATCACACTTCTCGCAACTATGTCTACGCCATTAACAAAAGTTGTTAGTAATATACTCAGTAACATTAATTTTCATCAAGATATTACAATTTTTTATGTTCACTCGCTTCGATTGTAGAAGCTTTTTTGTTTTAGATATGATTAGATTTTAGTTTCTTTACATGATTTTACGATAATTATGTAATTAAAAAATGCAGTATATAAATTAAATTCCAACAATGGAATTTTCAACTTAGAAAGTCTCATACATGTATAGTGTTGACAGGGGAGGTACATGGTGGTATGATGTTAGGCTTGAGAAGCAATGAATGGAGCGACATTGATGGATCATGTATCCTCTGACTCACGCATTCACCAACTCACTGCTATACCCACAATAATTTTATTATACTCATTTCTATTCCATTTTCACATTATGTATTTTCATCACATTCTACTTAAACAATGCTAGCTGGCCATTATTAATAATCAATTAAACTCAAATTTTATGCTTTTGAGTGAGGTAAGTTTATCCATTTTTTGCAAGCTAAATACATTTTCTGGGCAAAAGATTATAAATCATAAAAACAGCAAGCAGCAATATCAAACCTTCCTCTTTAAGATTACAGAGTAAAGTTTCAATGTTTGAAGGGCCTGGTTCCTCACTGTCAAAACTAGCACAGCAATTCCTTCCCCAAAAGAAAGTGTAGTAATTTGGTTGGATTCAGAGGTCCATTAGTGGTGAAGTTTCATGCATATAGCAAACCCTGCGTCCAACTTTATCAACTACAAAGGGTTTCGCTTGGAGCTTTGTACAGAAACACTAGGACACATACGTGTATATAATACAAGGAGTAAGGTCTGAGCTCAACCCTTGGTTCTCATAATGGTGATGGAACCTCTGCCTTGGGTGTGAATCCTTCTGAGGGCCACCACTTCTTTCCCTGACATACCGAAACTGCGAGCTGAAAACGATGGAGAAGAAGTCACAGAATGTGGCACTGGATGTGGAATTGGCTTTGCTGGGCTCATCACTATCTGCTCATTTATGTCTTTCAGTGTTGTTTCTCCTTCCACTCCTCTCCGCTTCACCAAATCAAATGGGTAAGCTATTTTCTTCCATTGACTCTCTGGAAATATTGCACAGCATTTCAATGCATCGTTATCTTTAAAACAAAAAGGGAACAAGACAGATCATAAATGATGCGTGGGATGAAGGAGAATTAAATCAAATAATGGCCTTTAAGTTTTTGATAAAGTTTCTGTGATACTTGAAACTGAAGCGTCGTTTTCTTCTGTGTCTCCAGATGCCCAGCTCCTTTGAGAACTGTCATCTTTGATTATTGCTGCATGCATATCATTCTGTGATGATGATTGACCCCTAACGTTGAATTCGTGACTATCTGCAAAGTAGAAATTATATATCAGTTACTGTTATTGTGCCGAAGTAACTGTGGTGTGTTTCTGGTACTAGTAAATTTTATGTCTGAAATGTTAGGCTCATCATTTATTGCAAGGAATATAGGCCACAGAATCAGAAAACAATCACTCCTTCCCAACCGTCAAAGACAAAAAGGCTAGATTGTCTGATAAGTAATAAACACCAACAATAGGGTTCTTACTCGAAATGAAGCGACTCTGAAGAAGAAAGAAGGGCTTACCATCAAAGAGTTGGGCTGTTGTGGCAGAACAATTTGAAAATGGATTTATTTGGTCATCCAGACAAAGGGATTCCTGTAAACGATTAAAAAATTGTATCAGATTTCCAAGAATATGAGATTAGTACTGGAGTAGAATGGCTAGGCAAGTGGAAAGAGCATAATTCAGGATATAACCTTTTGATCCAGAAAGTAGGATGGTGAGTTTTCATTCTTGCACCAAATACCCCAACCAGAAATAGCATCTTCAAGGTACCCAGTCGTAGGATCAGATAAAAGCCAGGACTCTGCTCCTACAGCATCTGAGATAAAGCAAATTAAGATTACAAACAAGTAAAACTAAAACCGAAATGAAAGTGAAAGTGAAATGGATAGCAATGGCATAAATACCCAGATATGCATCTGAATGAGTGGCTTCAGACTCCAAATCCATGGAGGCTGGGAAGTGAGAACACTAGCTGGTGAGGTATGACACGGCCCTTTGTTATGCAGGTTAATTATTGAGTGCTTAACACTCATATATGTGAACAAAAAGACTACTGTATTTCACCTTTTTCGTTCAAGGGAAATTATTGTAATGGGCCCTTTGAAACGCTGAAAATACCCACCTACCTAACCATGCATTAGTCAATGCAGAGCAAAATAATAAATGGGCCACATTAATTAAATTATTAATTATGTAACATGACTACAATTTTTTGGTCTAATTAAGTTGAGGAAGGTCTATTTATTTTTTAAGCAATGAATACAAGCTTTTCACTCGTCTTCCAAGTTCTACAGCCTTCCTAAATTGGATGATATTTTATACACGAGTTACACAATTGAGCTCAAGGTAACTTTCTTTGAAGTCTTGTGTCTCACTGAGAATCATCATATCTATCTGTGTTTCTTCTATGTTGACTTAAAAAGAGATATAGACATTTTATTAGGTTCTTCTATATTACTTTTAGAAGATCTTATTAAGTTTTTAAATGAGATATGTGATCCTATCTGAAATTAAAGAAGTTAAACCACACGGAATTGTATGAAGTGGCTAATGGGAGAGAGAAAATGGCAACAATAGTGGACATGTCGAAAGCGTCAGTATCTTCGTCTCTCATTGGTAAAGATACTCAAAGGAGGAATATGACCATCTTTTTTCTGATTCGTTACATTTCTTGGTCTTAGGTAGGGTTTTTCTGAATGTTGCTGTTATCTGCCAAAAGAAGAGGACCAAGAGAAGCCACCCACTAGTTTTGAAAATAGGTTATTCTAGCTTTTCATTTTCTGAGTCTTGATTTCTGCTATTGATTGAACCAGTAGCCAACCTACTGAAAAAGCCATTGACTTTCCATTCATGAATAGATTTGATCTAGCATTCAAGTTGAAACTACTAAAATTCCAAAATCCCCTGTTTTTCTTATAGGAACGCTAGTTTATGCTTCTGAATAAAGTTTAATTACAAAACTGACGTAAAACATAATGAAACACAAGGAAAACATCCTTTGGACACCGCATATCAGAGTTTTGTTAGCATAATTTAAAATTTATATGGTATTTTTTGGATATCAGGTTTTTAGCATAATTTATCAGGTTTTGAAACGTATATATTGATTTTAGAATTGAATACAGTTCAAATTATATCGTCATCATTAAATTATCATTATTGAAGAGGATTTATATGTCAGATGCTGTTAAGAGGAAAAAGAAAAGTGGAGGGAAAGAAGAAATGAAGAAGAAAGAAGGTTCAATTTGGTAGAGGCAGGCAAAATATGACAGAAAGAAACAAAGAGACGTCACATTCCTCAGTGCTTGATCCTAATATAAAACGCCATGTGGATGTTCAAGCCACCTCAAAGCGCTAAACAAGTATATCAGATTGTCGTCTTTTGCGGTTTTGCCTCTACCTTATCTCAAGTTTAGGTAAATATGTGTCTCATCTTCATTAATTTTTTTCCTTTTAATTAAAAAAAATCGGTTTAAAACTATTACATTTTCATATAAGAGAAATTTCAGGTATCTTGTATGATATGCCAACAGAAATTATTTCCATTGTTAGGATTCGGTCTTATACCTTATATAAAGTATAAGTTCAAATTTTGCTGTCAGCATGAAATTTTTTGTTAATGTATAATCTGTAATTATCGCCATAGACACTTTTTTAAGTTATAAAACTTGTGCTGATTTTAATGAGTCCTTGTTATCCAACTTGCCTAATCCTTAAGGGAGGATATTTTATAATTTCCTTTCTGAAGAAAATAAACGTCCAGCAACATAATATTTGAGAAACAGATCACGGATGAAAATTGAAGATTTCATGAAACAATGGATAATCCAATGAATTTTCAATAACAAAACAATCAAGGCAACCCAGTTATTTTAAGTCGGTGCAAATTTGAGAATAAGAATAACCTTCTCCAGAAAAAGCAGGAGAGAATAAGAGAAAGAAAGAAAAGAAATTCAGGAAATCTTTAGATCAAATCAATATATCCCAACGAAATGACTATTAGAAATTAATTAGTAAAAATTGTATCAATTTAATTAGAGATTAGTTTGTACAGAAACAAAATGACTAGCATTATTGGTAGAGCATCCACTAAAGCGTCCCAATTTGGTTGGATCCAAATTAGTTTGGCCCTTGTTAAATTTTCTCAGCTAAGTATAGGGTAAGTTTAGAATATTAAGCACTGCATGTTAAAAAAAAAAAAAAATCCAAACCAAATAAATTCAAATAGCTTGAGTTATAAGTGATGTCAAACCCTAGACTTTTCATTTATTGGAAGCTTTCGTGCGACTAAGTCAGCAAAAGCATAACTTGTTTTTGTAAGGTAAATTATATATTATTCCTTAAACTTTAAATCATTTACACATAATCTCCTTAAACTAATAAAATTTTACAAGGAGCTCCCCTCAAGTTATATATTTATGCAAATAACTCTAAATACTTGATTTTATATATTAATTATCTACATATAACTTAAAGTTTAGAAGATTATTTGGATATCAATCAAAGTTTGAGGACTTAAATACACACAAAAATAAAATTTAAGGAGTATGTAATTAATTATTAAGAGTTATTTACATAAACTTAAAAACTTAAGGAGTTTAATTATTAAATTTTGAAGGTTGAAAGAGTTATTTATATATGATTCAAAATTTAAGTGAGTTATATATAATTTAGCCTTCTAAAAAAAAAATTGCACAATAGATGGAAGGGTGAAGAATCAGATGCTAAACAATTGATAACGCAGCAAACAGCTGTGAGTGTGGGTTGCTCTACTTGGAAGGCAAAGAGCTTGTTACTTCACCTTCCTTCCTTTTTCTTGTTCTTCAAGTCTTTTGGAAAAGGTGTTGATTCCCCCTTTTAAACATATTTCAGCTTTTTATAAGATAAGATCTTCTTAAAAATTATGCCTAATTCCTAAAAAATATTTCATTTCAATTCAATTATGTCGTTCTTTTACAAAAAAGAAATATTAATTAATATGCAAGACTAATTGGGAAGCACCAAAAAAGGAAAAAAAAACATTCTTTAATTATTTTGTTCATATGCATTGTAACTCAAGTGCAATTTGTTTTTAGTATTTATTGCACTTTTCTTAAAAATATTTCATTTTTCATTCATTAACTCTCAAGTAATTTTTTTCATGATCATAAAAATTTCAATATACAATTAATTGCTTAAAAATAAATATTAGCTATTATTTTAATTCAGCTTTTGAAAATATACAGTTTACTATAGTTACTTCAAGAAAAGAGTAACAAGTCCAAGCCATTTACGCAACCTTGCCCTGTTCAAGGAATTATGGCTGTCCCCTCTGCTCTCTAGCTCCTTCAAGAACATCTGCCACGACGAATAATTTCGAAAACGCAACAGTGTTACCGCCAAGAGTCCATTATATAACAAGAGATCTTTCACCTCTCATCAGTATCATCAATCGGTCAAAGATGGTAAAGTCACGCAGAGTTGGCATTGCAATAGACTTCTCTGCAACCAGCAAACTTGCTCTCCGATGGGCCGTAGATAATCTCATCAACCATGGAGATCACATCTTCTTGATCAACGTTCAGCCACCCAAGTCTGGTCATACCAGGAAGGAGCTTTTCGAAGACACTGGTTCACGTTAGTGCCCCTACTTCTCTTGGTTCTGCTTGGCCATACTTCTCCTCTGTTTTTTTTATCCCCCCGCCTATGGTTACTGTGTTGTTCTGTTTGATGACATCTTAATAAGATTTTTCTGGGTTTCCAGCTCTGGTGCCTCTGGAGGAGTTGAAGGAGATGAATTTCACGAAGCAATATGGGATTGCGAGGGACCCTGAAGTTCTGGATATCCTTGATACAGTGTCAAAAACCAAAGGGGTATTTCTATTTGATACTGTTGCTTTCTCTGTTCTTCATTAGCTTTCTTTTCTTAGGCGATTACTCTAAAAAAATTGCATCATTTTCTGTATGGAAATTGAAATAGGCTAAAGTAGCAGCAAAGGTGTATTGGGGAGATCCAAGGGAGAAGCTTTGTGCTGCTGCTGAAGATCTTAAGCTTGACTCTCTGGTAATTGGAAGCAGAGGTTTAGGCTCCATCAAAAGGTAAAAGCTATCTCATTTTTTATGGAAATATCTTATTTTGCTTTTGTCATTTCATAGAGTAGCTTCAATCTGTGTGATTTTTCCTGGGTTTTTTTTTTTCCAGGTTGTTGTTGGGCAGTGTAAGCAATTATGTGGTCACAAATGCTTCATGCGCCGTCACAGTGGTTAAGGGGAACCTGTCTTCCAATTCAAGACACTGATATGGATTGTGTTTGGTTGTATTTCTTTAAAGACAATTCAAAAAAGAAAAATGTTTGATTGAAAGGTGCTAGTGAACATATATATTTTTTTTTTCATGTATCGTTGGCTTTTCATGAATTGAGAATAACAGCGTCCAATTTAAAATTCTCCAAAAAGAATTATAGCAGCGAAACTCCTGCTTATTCATTCTTCTGCACGTGATTAATCTAAAGAGACCACTTGCAACGATAACCTCAAGAAAAAAACAAGCTTGGAAGGAATGAAATTTAGCAAACACCATTCATCTTCTCGTTCATCTTCTTCCTGTCGGACACGAACTTCCTCCAGGCCGTAGTAATTTCCCTTTGGGTCTCGAGAGCACTCTTCTTCGGGACGAGATGGCCATTTTCTGCCATTTGCGCGGTGACATTGACGGTGGTGCTCTCTATGACCCGGCCGGGAAGCAAATCGAGCTCGTGCAAGACTTTCTGGATATCAATGACGAGACGCTCAGCGAAGGTTCGAGAGAAGTCCTCTCTGATGACGACGCGGAGGACGGTGACCCTCTGGGCATCTGGAGGCATAGTGTAGGCTGGCACGATCCACCCATAGCGCTTCAAGAAATCTGAGACTTGGAATTCATTGAAGTGGCTGTGATCCTTCAAGGTGAAGGCCACCAATGGCACTCCTTCGTCTTTTGATATGATGTTAAAGCGCCCTGTTTTCTCCAACCCCTCTTTCAGCACTATCATGTTGTCTCTGCAGTTTTCCATCACATTCCTATATCCCTGCATATAAACCAGTCAAACACACATCAATTACGGCATTGATCCTATAAACGATTAGAATGATTACGACAACAGATTTCAAGCAAAGTTGACTTTTCATAATCACAAATGGTGGTTCTGGGTTGGTCATGGTACCTCATGGCCCAGGCGGATAAGCTGGTAGTACTGAGCAATGACTTGACTAGAACCTGCATTGAATTATCATATCAGGGTATAGTTTTGAACGTGAAAACGGTGAGAAGTGCCAATAGGCCTGTGACTTTAGTGGCACCCAGTCATGGGCTTAAACTCGCTTATTTTCAAATTGTTTCAGCTTGTCCCTTGTGGTTAAAATGGTGAGAAGTTGAGTGAGTTGGGCGTATATAGATTACCTTTGGAGAAGTTGAGGGTGAAGGTGGGCTGATCAGCTCCAAGGTAGTTAATGTGGAAGATGAGCTCCTCAGGCAAATCTTCCTTGCTTCTCCAAATGACCCAACCAATCCCTGCATACACGAGTCCATACTTGTGTCCACTGACGTTGATGCTCTTCACAAGTGGCAAGCGAAAGTCCCACTCGAGTTCTGGATATAGAAATGGTGCGATGAAGCCACCACTGGCTGCATCCACATGGATTGGAGTATCCCATCTGCCAGAATGAGTTTAATAGGTCAATTTCAATTCAGGTCCAAGAATTTGACTGTGTGCTTGAAAGAACGTTCAAGGCCTAAACATGGAGGGAGAGATACCCAGTTTCGTTATTCTTCTCAATTAAGAGATCATTTAAGCGTCTGACATCTTCGAATTCTCCATTGAGAGTGGAACCAAGGATAGCAGCAACGCAGATGGTGTTCTCATCCACCATTTCCACTGCCTTTTCAGGGTCCATTACGAAGTAATCTTCCCTCAGCTTCACCTCTTTCAGTTCCACCTCGAAGTACCTTGCGAATTTCTCCCAGCAAACCTTTCATAAGATTATAAAACTTGATGATCAGTGCCTTGAAAGACTTGCAAAACAAATCGATCAAATGAACAAAATGGGAATGTGTAATTGATTGACTGTACCTGAACGTTAGCACCGGTGACAATATTGGGTTTGTCGATGAGCTTGCCCTCGGCTCTCCTTCTGTTCTGCCACTTTCTTTTGAAAGCCAAGCCAGCTAACATGATGGCCTCCGATGAGCCAACTGTGCCAACACCAACAGCAGGTTCTGAATCTTGAAGAGGCGCGTTGAAAAGATGAGCTATCATGTTCACGCACCGATTCTGCAACATCGAACCTCAGTCACTCAGGACTACTAATAAATGTTACATAGTGTGCAAATTATTTGCTTCTCATCAGATTAGTACAAGTGGATTTAAATTTAAAAAAGTATTAGTAACAACGCTTAATCTTGATTTTTCTATAATTTATTTTGTTCAGTAATAAGTTTCCAGAAAATTGTAAAACCAGAAATTGTGGGTGTGGTAAAACAAAAAGGTTAAATGCATCTTAACACAGATTGTATAATAAAAAAAAAATTCTAACTTAAAGTTCACAATGTGACAGCATCTAACAACTCACCTTTAACTGATTTGGGAAGAATTTAAAATTAATTTTTTTTTAAAAAAATAAAGGTAGGGAAGAGAGATAAGGAAGGTGCTAGAGTTAAGGGTGTTTAAAATTGTACCCGTCTCAGTCGACTCATATCTATTCTAATTATGTTGGAATAGGTCTATTCTAGTCCCAAAATATTGAGACAAAATTTTTATGAGACGGAATGAAATTTGAGATCACTTTCAAAACATCAAGTATATAATACATGTATTTTTTACATTTCGGTCAATTTAGGTTCAGCATGCCGTTTACTCGTTTCGCCTTCACTTTTCAATCTTCAACATTGACTCTCAAATGTTGTCTCTTCTCTCTCTAGGTATATGTACATATATGTGGTTTGTGGAATTTATAATAGTGAAGATATATTCCTGTAAAGCTCAACATCATGCAACGCTTATCTAGCTTGGTCTTTTTCCCTTTATTATAGGTTAATTGTTATAGTATTATTAATTGCTAACAATTGATGTTGACTCGAACCAAATTAACTACTACGCAAATGATAAATGACACAAATCAAATATATAAAATCTCAACAGTTTCATAATGTACAAGGTTAGATTATCTACCACCCATAGTACCGTATTTCTTATATGACTTTATGTTTACTTATTGTTTTACTTGTAAATTTATAGTCGTGGTTGATATAGTTTAATAATTAATTTTAAATTGTTGTGATTTATATATTATCATATTATTTTTTATTTTAGATTTAACAAATTTTGCAATTTACTAATAATGTTATTTTTTAGGTCACTTTCCTGTGCCTCCTTTATTGGGATGTTCTGATGCCAGACACGAAATAAAAAATTAATCCTTTTATCATTTTTCAGAATGAAACACGAAACAATGTCCCGCTCCCATGAACACCCTTACCTGGAGCTCAGTGGTGACGGGGTACTCGTCCATGTCGACGTAATTCTTGTTGATGGCGGACATGATGAGCTTGTCGCACTCAGGCTCCATCCAGGTGGTGACGAAGGAGGCAAGGTTCAGCCTGGGATTGCCGTCCAGCATCAGCTCATCGTTTATGATCTGGTACGCCGCCTCCTTCGGGATCGAGTTCTCCGCCATCTTGAACCTCGGTAACGGTGCTCTCACGTACCGCGACGCGAACGTCGAGTGGACCGAAACGTCCGTCTGAGAAGCTGTCTTTGACAGAACCATCGCCAACACAAAAACGGAGGATCGCGGCGGGGAAGAGAGATTAATTAATGTGCGTGAAATTAACCACAGAGAGAGAGAGAGAGAGAGAGAGAGTTTGAATTTGAAATCAGATGGTATTATGATATAATGAAGAATAACGAAGAGGGAGAGTTAATAGAGAGAGTGAGCGGTGAGTGGGATAAAATGAAGCGACTTCTGCGCAAGAAAACACGATTCCAAAACCAATCATGCTCAAAGTCTATTCTCTATACATGGAAACCCCTATTTTTTTCCTTTCATTGAAACAAATTTTGTGGAAAATGACGTTTCAAAGCCCTATAAAAGCACTTACTTACTACAATCATGGACTTGGAATTCTAGAAATCCCACGAAAAGACCAAAGTCCTTGGAGGTGGGAAATTTGAGTGAACTTGTTATAAGATTTAATTGTTGGTCTTATATAATTTCTTGGCTAGTGAAAAATGAAAGCTAGGCAAAAAATATTTTGCAACTCATTTAAAAATAAGTTTTTTTTTTCAAGTAACTTTGTCACTTATAAATGAGTTGTGAAATATTTTCAACATAATTTTCAATTCTCAATGGTTATGCATCACTTCAAATGTGATTAAATCACAACAAGAATTGAGCTTCCATCGATGATGACTCCATCAACGGCAATGGCGGTGATTCCAGCACCTATATACTAATAGGTCACAAAGTTGGATGGAGGACGAGGGAGCGAAGAAAGGAGGCTCATATTTTTCCTCGTCAACATTGATTTATAGGAACTCGTTTTATTTTTATGATACTGTATTTATTAATTAAGTCGTAACTCTTAAACTTATCAATAAAACATGTCATATTATTATGATAATATCCTCTTCCAAAAGATGAACGTTCCTGTGCTATGTGTTGTATTACTATCAATACATTAGTAAAGTAAAACAATGTATTTTCTCGAGGTCGAAAAGAGGAGATAGAAAAGAAAGAATTATGTTGTTTGAGTTAAAATATAAAACATCACTCGATATGTTGTAAAGTCATTTAGGTTAAATTATTGAAGAATTAGGCCCAATCTAAACAAAAGGGCCAACCCTGAGCTTAATGGAAGGCCATGATAGGGTGAACATACCAAAATTTTATTAGTTGCAAATATTATACAGTTGGCACATAAAGACACGATCTCTAAGTGATTTCAAAATCTATAGGAGCAGTATCATCGTGCCCAAATATCTCAGTGAGATAGGCTAGTTGTCAAAAATGAAGACCATTGGGTAAAGATCATGCCATGAGTTTTGCATGATTCCTGAAATCTTAAAGGAGAGACTACCATCACTTCAACATTATAAATAGAATATAAAAATATAGAAGAAAGACAGTCAACACTCAATAAAGACTCACATTTTGCACTCATAACTTTTCAAGTCTAGCAATTAGTTTTTAACTTCAATTTAAGCTTATAATCTTTTCACATTTCAATAGAAATTAAAAATAAAGGAGAGACAACCATCACTTCAACATTATAAATAGAATATGAAAATACAGAAGAAGGACAGTCAACACTCAACAAAGACTCACATTTTACACTCATAACTTTTTAGGTCTAGTAATTAGTTTTTAACTTCAATTTAAGCTTATAATCTTTTCACATTTCAATAAAAATTAAAAACACTCGTTTTATCAAATCTTACATATCTTTTTACATTCGAGTAAATTGTGTTAAAGGAGCTTAAGACTTTTTTATTATCAATTAAGACTCAATGTTTTTAACACACCTAATATTTATTGTTCACACATGAACACATGTATTATTCAAAAAAAAAAAACAAAGAAAGAAAGTAAAACTCATGAGATTTAGAATCTAATTGGTTTTTTATTCTCATCTTTAAAAAATATATATTTTGCAACAATTTCTAAAATTGTTTTTAAAACAAAAGAAAAAGAAAATTTATTTAGTTGTATTAATTTAAAAGCAATTTTCAAATTAAAAAGTCAATTAATAATGAATAGTAGTGACTTATGATAATTATTGATCAAGTAAATATAATTTTTAATAATTAAATGTAATGTATTTTAAAAATAAGTAAAATAAAATGAAAACATCTTTAAATGTTTCTATTTTTTGTTTTTAAAAATAAAAATTTTTTAAAAAAATAATTAGATTCAAAACATTCATTTAAATAAGTTTTTTTTAACAAAAAACTATTTTTTAAAAATAAAAAGCAAACGAACCCTTAATTCTCATGTCTAGATGTTAGTAAAAGATAAAAAAAAAAAATTACATCCAACCCCTCAAAAAAATTAATCATAAATAATGCCAATATGAAATGAATTGTTATTAAAATAAAAACATAATTTTTTTTAATGAAACTTGTTGGTCCCTTATCTCTAATTAATTCTCTTGAGAAAGGGTTATATGTAATTCTCCCAAAGAAAAAGAACATCAAGCTTAAGTTTCATAACAAATAGACCTTGTTTTAGAATATGTACTTATTTATAATTATAAATATTATTTTTTATAAATTTTAAGTCTTTTAATTCTTGAGACTAAGTATGTTTAATTGTATGTTGAAAAAGGCAAACATGCAAGGAAAGCAAAAACAACAGAAATAAGGCCAAATCCATTTCCAAGGAATCAATAGAAATTACACAAGACTATCTGTTTTTGCAATCAGGGCTAATAACCAAGCCCATATCTTCCATTCAACACAGGGAGGGAGGAAAAGGGTCCAAATATGAGAGACCAATGATTCTTTTCCTTCCGTTTATTCTTCTCGAGAATATAGCATCAGCTGAATGACCTCCTGTTTCACAATTCCCACCTATCTGAAACTGCCACGAAAACAATAGCTAATTAGGCAAATTTTCATAAATGAATGTTGACTCCCATACAAAACTGCCACAACCCCCAAGAACAGACAAGTATAGTTCTGGCATAAAACAAGGAAAAACGGGGCAAGTGATAGACTGATAAATGATGCAGTACTTTCCAACATTTCAATGTTTTCTGCGCGCATAGAAATAAAATATCGTTGCTTAAATATGAAGGGGACTAGAAAGCAGCTTACCAGACTCTTAGGCCTAAGCAGAAAGTTTGGCTTTAAGCTCATTTGCCACAGCATCAATGAACTCCTCGGTGCTCAGATATTTCTCCCTAGAAAGCCTGCTTGCACGTGAAATGTTATGCGAAAAATCAATCATGACTCCCAGAAATGCCAAAATTGGCAAATGTTGCAACAAATTAACAGGTAACATACTTAGATCCATGAATAATGAGAGCCAAATCCTTGGTCATCTTCCCAGATTCTACTGTACCAATGCAAGCAGCCTCTAGTTTTTCAGTGAAATCCAAGAGTCTAGCATTGTCGTCCAACTTTGCCCTGTCAATAAAAATGCATTTTAATTTCCCACTAAATCAAGATCAAACATCATAACTGAAGAAGCTAGTACAAGGGGAAAGGAACAAAGCACTCAACACTGCAGTTTAATTGCAGTTAAATACCTGTGGGCTAGGCCTCTGGTCCAAGCAAAGATGGATGCTATGCTATTTGTACTGGTTTCCCCTCCCTTCTGATGAACCCTGAAATGGCGTGTAACTGTACCATGGGCTGCTTCTGCTTCTATGGTCTTTCCATCGGGACAAACCTGAACCCAACCCATACTTTCAGTTTTGTGTAAGCATGAAAATACCAAGAAGCCTCAAATGGGTATTACCCAACCAAATCATGAGGTACAGGCTCAGCAAATCAGCCGTTGCGAGTGAATACCAGCTAAAAGAGAGTACACTATCACATAAATGTATCAGGACGTAAAATAACACTTACCAGTACTGATGTCATCAGACCCAGTGATCCAAAACCTAAAACAACATAAAAAGGTATTAGTGACGGATAAAAAAGGTATCAAGTATCTAAAGTAGAAAAAGAAAATAACAAAAGTAAAAAAGGATATCATACAAACCTTGAGCTAAGAAATCACTTTGGACATCTCCATCATAGTTTTTGCATGCCCATACATAACCTCCTTCACTCTTGAGAGCATACGCAACCATATCATCAATGAGCCGGTGCTCATACCTTCCAGTCCATGAGATAAATGTAATAAGATAAATGTATAATAAACGATTTTTTTTTTTTTTTGCCTTTTGGCAGTATCTAGGCATTCGAACACTTACCATATACCAGCAGCCTCAAACTTTGATTTCCAGCCGGCCTCATAAACTTCTTGAAAAATGTCCTTAAATCTTCAACCAATAAGTGAATAGAAATACAATTAAACAGGGCAAAATAACACCAGGCCAAATCAAATGACTACAAAACCATAACTGCAAATTTGTTGCCTGGAATGAAAATAAATAACAAACTAAATGTAGCATACCTTCCATCATACTTCTTAAGAATTGTATTTTTTGTGCTAAGATATAGAGGCCATTTTTTCTGATAAGCAGTTGACATGGAAGCCTCAGCAAATGCACGGATAGACTGTAAGCATCAAAAGAAAAGGAAAAGAAAGAAAAAAAGAATATCACTAACTTGCAAAATCAGTGAGCTTTACCCAATCAAACCGGCAAAGGACATTGTAAATCAACCTCATCAGTGTTATACATGGCTAACGTAACACCCCCTTCACCAGTGAAGTTATAAACCTCTAGTTCAGTCTTCTCACCCTGCCCTTCTGGCACTGCAAGAATAAAGAAAACATGAGTAGTTCACAATTACTAATTTAACAAACATAATAAATAGATGCTGGTTCTCCAGGAAATAGGAAGGAATGAGATACATGAACTAATAAAAATTAAAATGTCAAGGTAACAATAATATGATAACAACAAAGTCCCATTTAAAAGCAGAATGCATACCAAAAACTAGCTTCAGTTGTCCAGCCCCTTTGATAACTGTGTCAGTGGCTCGATATTGGTCACCAAAGGCATGCCTTCCAATGCAAATTGGCTTAGTCCAGCCTGCAAAATTTTATCATTAGAATATTTGCACTCCATAAATCAAGAAGCAAAGTAGCAAAATGCAAAATTCAATATAAGTACCTGGAACAAGTCGAGGAATGTTCTTGCAAAGAATTGGTTCTCTAAAGACAGTTCCTAGAAGAATTTTGCAACAGTGTAACCAATAAGAAATCAATAAAAATTGTAACTCATCTTTCACTTATCAACCACAAGACACAAACAAGAAACATAATTTAGTCACTAGCATTTAACATATAGTAACCAACAAATGAAAGTTCAGTTACCATTCAAAATGTTCCTGATTGTACCATTCGGACTCTTCCACATTTGCTTCAGGCCAAACTCCTTCACACGAGCTTCATCTGCTCATAAAAAGACCACAAATCTTAGTGCTGCTAAGTGTCGACATCAATAACCTACCTTTAAGATGTTAAATTCCTCAAAAACGATAAAAACATTAAAATTGCAGGGCATTCCCTTTCTCATTTTTGTCAATGTAAGTGAATGTATGAATGCAAAGTTCTGTCGGGAAAAAAAATAGAGCCAGACACAATACCTGGAGTAATAGTTGCGCACTTGATTGCTACATTATACCTGTATAACAGTGCGCAATCATCAGAGAAACAAGGAAAAAAAAAATCATACAAAGACAGAGTAGAAAGTAATCATTTAATCACCCTAGATTCAAAATTATGGTCCAGATATATGGAAATAAAAAATTTAAAAAGTTATCGCACATTTATTTTTTGCATATCACCCTAAAAAAAGGGGGGGAAATTTCATGCATAACATTCTTTCTAATCTTACAATATTCAAAAGAAACTTGAAAAAGAATAATTTCTAAGTCAGTCCATGACTTCAAGCTAAAAAACATTTTAGAAAGGAAGAAACGCTAAAACTTTCAACTGATTTTGAATTACAAGGATTAAACAAATAAAGTAAAAACATACTTAAGAGTAGCTTCTGCACTTTCAACAGTAACTTTATCGTTAGTCTCGTCACGGTAAGGAAGGCCTAGGTCAAAATATTTGATGTCCAGATCGAGAAATGGAAGAATGAGCTGTCAGAAAAAAGTTAGAATTAAGTCATGACAAATCCAAAAATATATCCTGATAGTCACACTAAGAGCAAAGAGTCAAAGACGATGAAAAATCACGTTATCCTTGATTGACTTCCAGATAATTCGAGTCATTTCATCTCCTGCAGTGCAGCAATTAGAAAGAATGCCGTTAGCAAAGTAAGGATTTCCGAATAGAAAAATGTAATCAGTCATGCAAGACATATAAATCAAATTAAAAATACTGTATTATTATATTTGCATTCCATAATTTGTGTCGATAAAGAGCATTGTCCTCTAGAAGGCCAGTTTAAAATAGGAAATCGAATTACCGTGAATGCTTAAATTACTATTGACCTATCATTCGAAGATTCTAAACAAACACAAGAAACATTGACCAGACTAGCTAGTTCAACCTCATCTAGAAAATGCCAACAATTTAATGAAGATTACACTCCACAGCCGCTGATTTTACCGGATGCGAGCAGATCAAAATATTCACGAAAAGAAGTGGGCAGACCGCAATTTAGAAAAACTTGTTTATGCATTACTCAAACAGAAAAATACGTCCATAGATTAAAAAAGTAAACAGAAGAAAATGAGAGACTAGCCAAATTCAGGTGAAAGGAAAATAACAACAGAATGGCAACCCAGGCCCACGATACAAGAATATCTCGAAAATGCATAAAGCCACAAAATGGCCCGCAGAATATCACAAGAGAAAGATCTTGTTTAAGCAAGTAACGAGAAGACAGAGACACATCGAAGAGTAAGATGAACGGAATGAAGCAATCAGATCCAAACGCACCGTCCATCTCAACGATGGGATTGGCGACCTTGATCTTTTCGAATCCCATTTTTCACTTGCTTTCTGAGCGAAGATCTTGCTGAAGAGGCGAAAGACGGAGATGTGTGGACAACCTCCGCCGGCGGCGAGAGAATGAGAGAAGAAGAGAGACGAGGGAGTTGGTAGGTGAAGCGTGGAAACGAGCAACGAATAGAAATACCCGATTCAGGGTAGAAGACCAAATTTTAAGGAGGCGCAAAAGGCAAGAGGAGCAAGGAAATTGAACTTATATTTTACTTGCCAATGTCCGATATACCCTTTAATATATACCAACTTACTTCTTTGCCATCACTATTAATTGGGAATTTGATTTATTTTTTTTTTTGAACCAGCCATTGAGAATTGGAAAAATTGTCACAAAATCCATGAAAATTGCTTTAAAAAATCAAGAATAATTTAAGGACTAAATACATTCTAAGACCATGGCCTTGCACACAAAACATATAACCTCACATCCCAAGGACCTTGCAAGTTGCACCCCAAACTTATTACTTCATGTCTCCAAATCTATGACTTTGCACGCCAAATTTACAACGCACACGAAATTATAAGGTGTAAATTTCATATTTTTTTACATATATTATACCTATATAAAAAGAATGTAATTGGTTAAAGAAAATAGTTTTTTGGCAGAGGAAAAAAGGAGAGTTTAATCTGCCGGGACTATTGTTTTTAAGATTACATTGAGCAACATTGGTTTTTTTTTTTACAGTTTTTATATTTTTTATTTTACTATATGCTTTAAATTGGATAAATTGACCTTTTAGCCCAAAAAAATTTTGTATCTAAAATATACAAACAAACTTTTTAAAAATTTAAAAATATAATTAGTTTACATTGATATACAAAAAATTTATAATTAATATATAATAATTTATTATTTATATATAATAATATATTATTAATAAATATAATAAACTGTTATAATATAAAATATAATAAATATTAAATTATTTACTTAGTTTGATTCGATAATATAAGTTATTTTCACAAAAACTCTCTTTAAATTATGTGTTACTTTAAATTTAAATATTTCCTGTAATGTGGCTAAAAATAGATATGGGGCGAAGCAGTGATAGATTCTGTCAAAAAGGTGAAATGGACATAAAATATATTAAATTTGATGCTTACATTGTACTTAGTTTGCTTAGACAAGATATTATTTTTCCTCTCTTTTTTTCCCAACATCATCCTTTGTCCTTTGCCATCATTCTCCCTGTGGACTTTTATTAAAATTCCTCCCGACACCGTGATTTTAAAGGTAACGTAATTAATGAATTCCATGTTCAATTAATTAGATTAGAAAAGTCAATAAAAGTATAAAGCACAAGCATTACCTGGTGAGAAGCTAAAAGGTGGTTGTAACAGACTAGAAGTAGTGTCGGATATGTATCTGCTGGTCAAGGACGAGCCAAATCCAAAATAAAACCCTAAATAACAGTTACTTTTAAAACATAATAAAAGCTTGACTAGCTAGAGGGCAAAATATATAATTTTAAGTTTTCGTGATCCCTATATATAATAGTAGGACTGTATGATTTTTATAAAAACTTTGGGCATAAAATATTAACAAAGATAATATTAAATAAACAAGGCGAGCATCGAGAACATGAATTCGCCAAAAAGATGTTGGACAATACTCATAAGTCCGCATGTAGTTATATACATGTCCATTCTAAAAACGTGAAGCTATTTGCAGGAGAAAGGTAGTTAGACATTAAAATAAAATCATCGTATTTTATTTGAATCTAAACAAGAAATATATGTAAGAACTAGATAACATTGAGAAGGAAATAATGGAAAAGAAGGATAAAAATAAAGTGAGCATTAATTAGGAATCAAAATTATTAAACTTGCGAGTTTTAATAATTTCATGATAAGATTGTAAACTCGAAATGTAAATATAAACTCTTAAGAGTTATCTATATTAATAAATAACTTTTAAAAATATATAATTAAATAATTAAAATATAAAATATGAGTATAATTAAATTTAAATATATTTTAAATATAAATTATTGAAATTAAATTTATCTAAATTCATAAATTATTATACTCAATACAAAAATTATAAAATAAAGCAACTCATTTTTTACCAAAAAAAAAAGGACGCAAGAAAGCTTCCGTGTGTGGTAAGTACAAGAGTATGATATACTAGCATTTTGGAGGAGTTAACTAACTTATTAAGGTTAAGGTAGGGAAATTATATCTTTAAACTTATTTAAAAAATGTATAATTTTTAAATTTTACTCTTAGTTATAATTAATAGTCATAATAAATTGTCTCATATTTAGTGTTAGATAATACCTTAAATAATTTTTTTTTAATGAAAGGATGCATGTGAGTGAACCAAAAAATAACTATAAGAAAGTATATCACAAAAATTCAAACGATAATAAATAAAAGTAAAATTAAAAAAATATAAATTATTCTAACATCTTACATCAACAATAAAAAAGTCATCAAACTCCATCTTATATTAAGAATCGAGTGAGTATATTAGTAAAGAGTAGAGAATGTTAATATGATTAAGGTGGAATATAGACATGAGACTCACTAATATAAAATACATGCACACATAGCTTGTATCATGAGCACAATAAGGGTGAGAATATGTTGGGTCTCAACAAGAGCCTATAATCTAACTACTTTAGACATAGCCTAACATATTTATTAAATAGGCTCTAACTAGATTCAGGTATTTAATTTAGGCCTACGAGTTTAACAGGTAGGCCTATATATATATATATAATATTACAAATGCGTTAATTTTATTATTTAATTTTTAATTAATCTATTTTTTTATTTTTAATTATATTTTTAATCATATTGAATTTATATATTAATTTTAATGTCGTTACTTTATTATTTCATTGTATTATAGTTAATAAATTCTTTCAATTATTATATATTATAATAATAAATTAAGTTATATATTATATATTATAATATTCATAAAGTATATTTAAAACATTTAAAATTAAAATGTGAGTCTATTTAAAAAGTAATTTTTAATTAAAATTTTTAAATAAATTTTTAAGTCACTTTAAATTAACTTTATATAAGTTTTAAATCAAATTTAAATCTTTAATTTATTATAAAAATTTAAATCTATTTGATCAAAACTTAACTTGATGTTATTTATTTTTACACCCAAGTGCAAGGAATGGCATGGGCGAAGCGAAGGATGGCAAAAACGTAAAAAAGAGTAGAAACGGAGGGTGGAAAAGGGAGGACGAGGAATGAGGAGAGGAGAGTGTGATGTCATAGGCACTTTAGTCAGACTATTCAATATTCAACCATCCAATGCCCAACTAACCATTGTTTTGTGGATGCGCCTCACTTTCTTCCTACCCCAGCAAAGTACTGAAACGTCCATGAAATTTTACGGCCTTCTCGAAATCCACCACACACAAAATCATTTTCATATTTACCTTTTTATTATAAAAATTAATTGTCAATGCATTAAAATTATCATTTCTGTTTCCTTATATCATTACTTATATTTTAAAAGATTATTTAACGCACTCCTCAGAGTTACAGCTGCAAGTTATAAATATTTTTATAATGTCTAAGAGATTAAATTAAAAGCTATGTAAATCTTATTATTCATACAGTATTATAAATAATGTTCAACTCACGTCTCATATCATAATCTATATAGGATCGCAATCTAATTACACACACCAATAAGTAATAGAATTAAATATGATGTGAATATATTAAAAAAAAAAGAGAATTAAATATGACGTATCATTATGTGCATAGTACCCTGTTTGTTGTGGTAGACAAGCCTTTTTTTTTTTTTAATACATTCATGTTAGACAAAGACTAGGCAGTGAAATAATACTTATAAATCAGAACAACTTAATTTCACACCCAACATTAAAAAAAATTAAAAAAAATGAAGATGGATGTTGCCTGATGACACTTTACTGATAGGCATTCCCAAAAGAAAGCGTTCAGGTGACAGAAGCGCACAACCAAGGTTCAAATATTCACGCCCACCGAGACCTAATTGCATGACTATTGACATTGATATTCAAGTCTGAACCAAAATTTTATAATCCAAGAAGCTCCTCATTTTAGATAAACAACTACATCACCAAAGACGAGACTACTTTCCCATGTGAGCTATATACCGTGTCTCCTGCTAGTTCCCGAATAGTGTTTGTCCAGAATAGCTTTGGCTAGGTTACTGAAGCTCACACTAACTTCTTCAGCCTTTGCATACCTCTTGATGACATCAATAACTTCTGGATTTAAAACGCCTTCCTTGTTAGACTCCTTACAGAGACAATACAGAGCCCCAAGTGCAAAATTCATCTGACACCAATACAGTAAACTGAGAGAAATTTTATTTACTCTGCAATTAAACTTTGGTACTTACGGCCGCGCATCCAAGGCATTGACACGTTAAAAAAGCATACGCATATCAATGTTTTCCATGTTTAGTTGAAACTAAAATAGGTCCTACGTATTTGCACGGCATGCAAAATGGTTGCCCATATTGATATTGATCATTGACAGCCTGGGTTCTGATATGAAGTAGCAAAAATCCATTGTCCTCATATTATACTACTTCCACGTGAGCCAAAAAAAATGTCCAAAAGAAATCCAAGAATCTGAATAGCCATAGGTTACCATCCGGTCTGGCTCTACAAAATCAGCAGGTTGAATTTCAAAGGCAAATATATTCGTCACCAAAAAAAGGCGAATACATTACAACTCATTGAAGTGAAACAACCTCGATAGTAAGATCTCATCCTTATAGTGTTCCTAGCAGGGCTTGATAGACATTGAATGATAAGAGGGATACCACCGGACTGATTACAATTGCTGCATTGGCTGGATGTGAAAGGAATTGCCACTGATTTTTGTCAATATGATCAATAAAGCAGAGATGCATATATATCATCACCAAGGGAGAAACTTCTGGACTTGCCAGCACAAGAATTGCAGATCCCTCCAACACCAAATTCCACAAGCCTCTCATTGGATTCTGTCATGCAATCCAAGAAAAGTTCTAAAACACTGAGCTGTTCATAAATCACATAAATAGTGGTTTGCAAAGCTGATAACTGTATACCAGGAATTTTAGCTCATCTTATGGTCATTTTCCATAGAAAAATTGAAAATTCCAACCTGACACAAGAAGTGATAGTTATAAGGATCACAGGCAAAGTTTGCCAAGTTTGCCACAACTGTCTCTCTTGTTTCTGCAGATACAAGAAAAATTGGCGACTTAGGAGTTTGTACTTCAACCAGGAAGAATAAAATGGACAAACGTAATACTTTTCCATCCAGAATACAGAGGAAGAGAGTTTCTTCCTCTAGTAACTCAGAAGTGGCTTTAAAAAACAATTTTAGGATTGAATAATTTAATATTGCCTACTTAATTGGTTCGTTAGTGGCCTAACCTAAGATAGCATATAAACAAGGACCACGCCCATTAGATAGCAAAAAGTGATTTCACACTGGATTATAGCCCCAGCACAGGAAGCAATACTACCATCAACTTTTCATGAACAGACGGCATGATACTTAGTCAGTGCATTGCAAATGGCAAAACCGCAAAATGCATCTAGTGAGCAGCACATGACTTGTATTGGAACTTAGCAGTTAGCACTGATTAATAACACGAGGTTTCAGACATCAAGTTTAGACAAGAGACTGTCAATTGATAGTATAAACTTGCCTTGACTTGATTTCCTTTTTATTTGTGTAAAACAGAGTCAGCTGACTCTTGAACTACCAAAAAAAAAAAAAACAGAGAAAGAAACAGAATTGTATTTTCTAGTTTCATGTAGGCAGTGCTGGAAACTCAAACGATATCCTCTGGGGAGCCAAAAAATGGTCTCAATTTTAAAAAATGCAAAAAAAAAAAAAAAGAACTAAAATTTACAGAAAACGAAAAAGGCAAAAATGAAAAAAAAAAAAGGTATCGTTATCATCTGTGTTCTGAAACCGTATAGCCAACTTCTGGAAGAAAGTTTACGCATCTAAAGTTCCCAAATGATGTTAATGCAACAAACGTGGTTGAATTTTTTTTCATCTATATAGGAAACAGAGGTAACGATTGATACGTGAATATCATGTGCAATATTATGGAGCATTCACTACAAATGAACACTATATAATCAGAAGGAAAAAGAAAAAAACCAGAGACCTGAAGGTATTGCAATCTTGCAGTTCCATGTTTTCCTTTTCGCTCTTCCTGCCTTTGGTCACTGGTGAACACGTGTACCAAACCTGAACTATCAAAGCAATGCCGACCAAATGTTACAGGGAAAATCATTCCTTCATGATATACTCAATTGGTTTGGACGGAGAGAAAAGTGGAAGAAAATAGTGAGGAAAGAGAACTAAAAGCAGAAGTTTTCAAAAATAGTGAATTCTTTAGGAGTTTTTTCTCCTAGTTTAAATGGTGCGGAAGGAAATAGAGTGGAAAAAATGGAGAGGTTCTTCTCCCGGCAATTACTATGTTTAGGGCTTTAGGCTGATCCATATTTGGGTTATGGTCCATTGGTGAGTCAAGTTGGACCCGTTTAGTCGTTCGCTAGTTCATCGGGCTGATCTATATTTAGGTTGGGTCCAAGGGATGATCGCGTTGGCCCAAATACTTTAATTTTTATATTCCTTCCATCTCAATTTTATAAAATACTTTTGAAGATATTCAACATCCTAAAATATAAAATTTTTTAATAAAAATAAAATTTTTTTAATTATATTTTTTAATATTCCTCTCTTCTTAATTTTTTTTAATATTTTTTTAAAAATAAAATATTAAATGATAGACATTTTTAAAAGTTTATAATTTTATTTAAAAAAATTAAATTATAAAGTTTATTTAATAAAATTTTATTGATATGCATAATTTCATTTAAAAGCATCTTAAAAATTAGGACAGAGAGTATATATAATGCACAAGATTTTGTAGACAGAAAATGTAAAATAAGTAAATTTTAGGTATCCTTTTTCTGTTGCATTTATAAGATGCTTCTGCAATAATTTTAATTTTTTTGTCATCAATACTAGAAACCGGAGTTTTACTCAATTAACACTTTCAGACAGGTAACAAGAATCTTAACATATATCAATATTAAAAATAATATTGAGAAAAATAACTTCAGTACTCCAGAAACATTGGGGAATTATTACTGTCCGGCTCTTTCATTAATTCTTAGTGATACAACTTCAGTTCAAAATGAGTCAGCCGCTAACGGCTAAGGCTGTCCCTCGTAATATCTGGATGCAACATAAATTCCCCAACGAACCTCCTTGTCATTTTTTTTCTTGGTTCACAGAAGATAACCGGCAAATTTAAATGTTCAGATGGACAAGAGTCATTCTTTTATTATATTCCTATCAAACTTGTAGCAACACACAAAAATACCATATACCGTCCAACAAATTTAAATGTTCAGATGGACAAGAGTCATTCTTTTATTATTCTCCTGTCAAACTTGCAGCAACACACAAAAATAGCATATACCGTCTAACAAATTTAAATGTTCACATGGACAAGAGTCATTCTTTTATTATTTTCCTATCAAACTTGTAGCAGCACACAAAAATAGCATATACCGTCTAACATTGTAAGTAATCAGATACACCTCAATACAAGCAAACATAAAGTTAATACATCCTCACGGCCAACTGCCTTTTTTTCAAAAATTTATTTTCCTAACAAACTTGTAGCAATACACAAAGTGAAATAGCATACACGGTCAAGATTGCATATAGTGGGATACACCTTGATGCGAGCAGCTTGCTCAAAGATCCTCAGGGCCATTGATTTCCTGCAAATAGAAATTCAAACATCATGCCTGGTCCGAATGATAACCTTGTGGTTAAAAGAAAGGACATATATTCAGTTAAAAACCTTGTCTGCTAGTACAGCTCCGTCCGGTATTTCCAGCTTTACTCCAGGTTTTGCAATGACGCTCACTTTACCCTGTGAAGCAGCACCGTAAAGACAAATGTCAGGCAGCAAACTCAGAAGTAAAAACGAAACCCAGTTAAAGTAAGAAATCTTACATGTGAAGATGTAAGATTTTTTTTACAATATTCCAACAATGAGATCACATTATAATTTGAGATTTTCGACAACATCTGAAACAATCCTGGGATCATAAAGAACCCAACGCAACTTTGATTGTAATATTTATGGATGTACTTAAGTAATGAAGTTTCTTGTTTTCGTTGCTCAAATAATTAGAATACAAATTTGAACGTGGGAACTATGACAGCTATCATGCATCATAAATTCATAATGGATGGTATGGTAAGCATATCTCTCATACCCAAAATGCAACCGAAATCATATCAAAGGCTGAGACTTAATTTAGGCACATTTCCATCGCTGACAGTCTAGTTTTGAAATTATTATCAAATTTAGAATTTTATATTAAGCATGAAAGAAAATCTTCAAGAACAAAAAAAAGGTCGACATAAAGGGATCATATTGAATACCTTGAGGGTAACACCTGCTCCAAACCATACATCGCCTGCCACTTTGAGACTGTCAAGATTAACAATGCTAGGGATTGACTTGAACCGACTCAAGAAGTTGCTAACCTGTCAAGGAAACTGGGAAATCAATATCCATGTAACCAACAAAGACAAATAACAAGTGATACAAATCTTCACCTTCTTAAATTCTGGCCCCAATTCAATAGAAGGGTTTGCAGGATTCACCCTAGCCTTGTTCTGAATGACAAAGCCATCTTCCAAGGTGTAAAGATCTGACTGTAACACAGGACAACCACTTACTTTAGACAAAAGCCTCAAATCAGTCTACGGTTCCCATATCTAGTATCAGAATTCATAAGAGTTTATCACCTGGACAAGAAGCAAATCTGAAGTTGCCTTCACTGGAAGGAATCGAGATCGAGGCACATTTATTCCAATAGCCCTGTCAAAGAACTGATAAAAAAGGCATGGAAATATGAGCACTAGAAATGTCTCAGCACTATTTGTTTTACAGCAAGGTAGCAATATGAATTACCCTTATTGCTGCACCAGCTGCAGTTTCCAACTGAAGAACTTTTACTCCATCAACTTCCTAAAGCCCAAATAACTTTGTCAGCAATTTTGAGCCTGAATGTTGTGTCCAGCACCAACGATTATCCAAAATAGGTAACCCCCTCCCCCAACCCCCCAAAGGGTTAAAAACCAATGAGCAAATTAAGCCTAAGCTATTTCTTGCAAAAGATCAATTTTCACCTTAGGATTGGGAATAATTTCCATCTCAAGAGCATCAGCTTCAACAAGCCTCTTAATTGCTTTTAAGTTCACCCACCTGCAGATCACACACTTTGTAAGTGCCTCATGGGAGTATTAACACTACAAAAGCTAGAGCAACAACAGCTAGAAGCCTAGAAATTAGGATAACTTACAAGTTATTTGTGTTAAAAATTTTAAACTTCTCTATTGACTTGAATTCATTGACCTGCACAAGCAGACAGCATTACGGTTAATATTCTTCATCATGCTTGCCAGCTATTGACAATCATGCTCCGCCTACTGAAAAGGACAAGAGAAACTTGCTTGATGATTCTCTTTTATAACAGAATTTAACTGAGAGATGAGAGCTTTCCATTCAAATATATACCTGCTATAAAGCAAGCCATTAAAGTTTATAATAAATTTCACTTAAAGGTTATTGATTGCACCACATAATATAATTATTTAAAATCAAGCATGTCAATGGCATCTTAGTCAACAGATTAGTGCGAAAAAGGTAGCAGGTTTACCATGGTCTATAATCTTCATAGCTTTATTGTTTAACCAAATACTAAATAATTTTACAATTTCCCACACTAGCATGAGGGGGAGGGGGACAGCGGGGATAAATGATATCTTTAGAAATATAAGACAGGCCATGAGCCTATCAGTGGAGAGATAGGGCACCCACTATGGTTTCAGTACCAGGAGCACTAATCATATGGAGGTTTGATCCACTACTTCTCCTCAATTAGTTCTATGGACTTCATTGTATTACCAAAAAAGAAGAAAAGACACGGGCTTAGTAGCTTACATGCTCATTTGGAACTTGTGCTATTTCCAGGAGCTGCATCACATAATGAAAGATATAATGTCATTGGAAGCTGATGTATGGGATTTTAATCAATCTCATTTTTTGTATATTTTCTTTCAAGTGACAGAAACCCAAAAAATAGGGGGCAGGATATGCGTCAGATTGTGGGTGGATAATAAACCCATGGAATTTTGGGGAAAGTTTGCAAATTGCAGTACTCAGTGCTCAGAGTTATTCAAGCAAATCTAGGTCGGGAAGAAATGAACTAGTGACAGACACATGCCTGAACCCTTCCTTCATAAGAGATCAAAGTGCCACCCTTCACATCGGCCAATGTTTTCGGAGTAACCTGAATAACATAAAATTATGTAAAAATGACGCCTAGTCTGTGATGAAAAGCTGTTTGTTCACATTAACAATCTCCCTTTACCTCCATACAGTATTCATTCTTGTTCTGAATCAAATGATTTAAGATTTCTGCATGAACTAGTTAAGGATACTGATCACGATAAAAAAACTGTTCATGGGTAATTGATAAGAAATATGTCAAAAAATAAAGACTTGAGTAAGGATACTCAAGTCAACTATGGCACCCAAGTTATCAGAATTGGCAACGAACACATACTCCTTACCCTGTAAAATAACAAAGAAAACACACAACATACAGGGTAAGATCATGACAATGATTACTAATGAAAAGTCCAGGACAGATCAATTGATTTCTGGTGTCAACCTGTGATATAAGAGCATCAAGTTTGCCACTGTTTGATAGTGATGGGAAGACATCCCCATGGCCAGGAGGGTACCTATGAATGAATGGTTTATTTATCAGTCAAACTTGGAAGTCTATTAACATAGACATGCTCAAGCTCTTAATCTTTGAATGGGATGACTAATAAACAAATATAATGTTTACTAGCTCGCTCAAGTACCACATCTAAATGACTAAACATAATACAAACAAGTCTGAATTTTATTTTGATTGACATATCTAGCGATTTAAACTAAATTTCAAACTGGTAAAAGAAAATGGTATTTACTTATTCATTATGCAGCAGGCATAAGAGCAGTATCACTTGGAATTAAGCCACATTGGAAAATCCAAACCAAAGTCTAAATCAATATCATTAAAAAGGATGACAATGAGAAATAGATAGCTTAGGTGTGCAAATTTTACATCACAGCGTGAATTACATTATATAATGACAATTGATCCATATCGAGCATTTTGACAAATGTTTTGAATTTGAGAATAGTATCTAATTGAGATCCTAACTTTGGTCTAACAATAAAAATCCTGCATCAATCTTGTTGCTCTCTTCATCAAATTAATTCCTATGGTTATTGTAAATAACCAAAAAGGGAGCCACATACGAAACACTTCAAACATTCATGAAGATAATATAACTAAGCATACATGTGATAACCTCATTTTCTAGGGAAGAATATGGATGAAAATGTTTTGACATTAAGCAAACACAATTCTTAGATCCAACAATGGGACAAGTGGTTAGACAAGATATATCAACAGAATCACCATTCACCACTAAAAGAAATGTGCACAACCATAATGACTTGATGATGCACAATTTCCTAGACTCTAAACAATGTAGGGAGCTTTACATAAGATAAATCCTGCTTACTTGCATTCTTTCACATAGTGTGTTAGGACAGAACGAGATGAAGAG